CGATGCAGCTCACAACACCGTGCAGCATAACAATGCAGCTCACAACAACGTGCAGCATAGCGACGCAGCTCACAACGACGTGCAGCATAACAATGCAGCTCACAACACCGTGCAGCATAACGATGCAGCTCACAGCAACGTGCAGCATAACGATGCAGCTCACAACACCGTGCAGCATAACAATGCAGCTCACAACAACGTGCAGCATAGCGACGCAGCTCACAACGACGTGCAGCATAACAATGCAGCTCACAACACCGTGCAGCATAACGATGCAGCTCACAACGACGTGCAGCATAACAATGCAGCTCACAACAACGTGCAGCATAGCGATGCAGCTCACAACGACGTGCAGCATAACGAGGCAGCTCACAACACCGTGCAGCATAACGATGCAGCTCACAACAACATGCAGCATAACGATGCATATCACAACGACGTGCAGCATAGCGATGCAGCTCACAACGACGTGCAGCATAACGAGGCAGCTCACAACACCGTGCAGCATAACGATGCAGCTCACAACAACATGCAGCATAACGATGCATATCACAACGACGTGCAGCATAGCGATGCAGCTCACAACAACGTGCAGCATAACGATGCAGCTCACAACAACGTGCAGCATAACGATGCATATCACAACGATACATCATGATGCCACGCAATACATGCGCCCCCCTGCTGCCGGTGCGGGAGAGAGCGAAAAAAGAACGAGAGAGTGAAAATATAGAGAGAGGTAGAGAGAGAGAGAGATCGCCTCTCTCGCTCATCCTCTCTCTCTCTCTCTCTCTTTCTTTCTCTCTCGTCGTGATCTATCTGTCCTAATCTCCGTTCTCGCACTCCTCATCCCTCCTATCGCGCACCCCTTTCCTCTCATCTCTCTTCTCTCTCTCTCCTATCTATCTATCTCTTCTTCTTTCTACCTCTCTCTCTCTACCTCTCTCTATATTTTCACTCTCTCGTCCTTTTTTCTCTCTTTCTCGCACCGGAAGCAGGCGGGCGCATGTATTGCGTGGCATCATTATGTATCGTTGTGATATGCATCGTTATTCTGCACGTTGTTGTGAGCTGCATCGTTATGCTGCACGGTGTTGTGAGCTGCCTCGTTATGCTGCACGGTGTTGTGAGCTGCATCGCTATGCTGCACGTCGTTGTGAACTGCATCGTTATGCTGCACGGCGTTGTGAGCTGCATTGTTATGCTGCACCGTGTTGTGAGCTGCATCGCTATGCTGCACGTCGTTGTGAGCTGCATCGCTATGCTGCACGTTGTTGTGAGCTGCATTGTT